AGGTGCGCGGGGCTGCTGCGGGGCGCCGGTGGTGGCTGCAGCCGCCGCGGGTACGGCGGGGCTGTGCCCGCGCCCCTCCCGGCGGAGCGGGCCGGGGGGCGCCGCCGGTGCTGAAGGGACAGCGCCGCGCTCCCGCCTCCGCCCCTGCGCCCGGCCGGTCCGGGTCGAGCGCTGCCGGTGCGGGCGGCGGGACCCGCGGCGCTGCCGCTGCTCCTCCCGCTGCCGCCGCCGCCGCCGCTGCCGAGCGCTCGGTGCAGCCCGCCCGCCCGCCCGCCGGGCACCGCCGCGCAGGCGCTGCTCCCGCCCGGTCCTAGCGCCGGCCGCGCCCCCCCGGCCCCGCCGCCCCTCGGCCGCCGCTTCCCCCACCCGTGCCGCTGGGACAAGGATGTCTGCTCCGGTACCCGCGGCTGGAAGGAGAGCGCCCTCCTCGCCCCAGCTCACCTCCCGGGTCGCCGGCCTCCTTCCCGCAGCGGGGAATCCCCACTGCGGGGTCTCCTTCGCGTGTGCGGCGCTGCCCGCGCTGCGCTCCGAGTGACCCTCTCAAGCACCACCGAAGTGAGTCACGGCTGTGCTCGTCCTGCCAGAACTGGACTCGCTGAAGGGCAAAACGCGAGATCTCCCCAGGCATCACGAGCGGGGGTGCCCAGGGTTGTCATTTCCTATCTCGCTTTTGCATGGTCCCACACACCTGCTCCACTTCTCCATCTTTCCTCCTGCTTTTCCTACTGTTCGCTTGTTTCTCTCCTGACACCTTTGTTTGGGTTTGTGTTGTTTATTCTTTTTTTGTTCTCCTTCATTCACAATGAATGCCAAGGGAAGTTTAAAAAAAAAAATCCAGTTCCTGCTTTGTGAGGAGCTTGAAGAACAGCAGGAAGATGGTTGTGTGGAAGGGAAGTGACAGAGGTATGTAGACAAGTCCTGTATCTTGTTTTATTTGCTGCCAGCATCTCAGGAGGCTTATGGGAGAGACTGGGGAGATGAGCCATTGTGGATTGATCATGGGAGGTCATGTCATGATGAATGGATAGGGTGGAGAAACATACGATTGAAGGTTACGTGGTTAGGGAATGTTGCTGGAGCGCAGAAGTGGTAGGGACAACACCATGCTTAACAGAAGAGTGTAGACTAGGGGAATGAAGTTAGGTTGAGCTTTGAAGTAGGGCAGAGATTCAGATGTATGGGAATAGTAGGTGAGGAAAAAGTGGAGGGCTGTCAAGGAGCAAGTGGTGCGGTCAGGTTTGTGAGAAGAGGTGTTTGACCACCCACAGCTTCTTTGGGTTGCAAAGGAGCATCGCATGTTTGGGATGCAGAGAAGAAAACTCTGCAGTAATTGTGGCAGGATATTCTAAAGGGGTCTAACCAGCAGTTTGTCAGTGAAAATGGTAGCAGATTGGTCTTGAAGCTGGTGGGGTAGAAGGAGGGCCTGAGACCTGGTGTGTGACTCTTGAGAAAAGAGAGGACTCTAGCAGTGGTAGTATGTTACTGGTGTCAGCAGCAGTGAAAGAGAAAAGGGAAAGTGAGGTTAAATCATGGCAACTCTGCATTTTAGCTAGCAAAAACTGATGACAAAATCTCCACGAAGAGATGCCAGACAGCCACTTGAGCACTGGGACTGAACAGAGGCAGAAAGGTTGATGACAGAGGGGGAATATGAGAATCACAAGTACAGAAATGCTTTCTAAAGTCCTTGAGAATTGCCAGCCTGAATGCACAGAGGGAGAAGAGGGCAGATCTGTGAACCCAAGCCTGGGCTTGAGAAAGGAAAAGAGGATGTTGACTCACTGATAGAAATAATACACATGAAAATTATTTTTTTAATCATAGTAAGTCACTCCTTTTGATAATGATAGATCTGGGGATCAATGGGAAGACCTATCATAGAGTAGGTTTTGAGAGTTATGAATGCTGAGGAAGGCAGGTAATCCAGGAAAGAAGTTAAGGGCTTCTAAATCCTATGCTAGTGGGTCCTTCTGGTCACATCCACAACTCTAGAGGCTCTTTCCCAGCTCATTAGTTCCTGTCTTCCAGGTTACCTTACCCCCCTGAATGATTCTTCTTTAGGCATTTCAGTGTTGGGAACTAAGGTGACTGTGAGGATGAAAGGGATATCATGCAGCTTCTGTTGCTTGGGTTTCCCTTCTTGTGTGGGGAACTGAAGGAGGGTGGTACAGGACCTCAGAAGTTATCTGAAAGTATATATTTAAAACTAGAAAGCTTACTTAAAGATACTTTTCGTGGACTCAGGTGAGGAGGCCACGCTTAAGTGACCTGCAAGGTTTCTTTGAAGATACTAAAGCTGTAATTCAAAAAGGAGTGTTGGTAGAGACAGAAGAGTTGGATATTTCAAAAGATGTGAGAGGACCCAAAACCAGAGGTTGATGGGCGAGCAGGAGCTTGTGACATCTGGAGCAAGATAGCTACTAAAATGGAAGGTCTTTTGGAAATATAAATTGGAACATGAAGTTTTTACAGTATTTTGATGTGGAAAATGAAAGATAACATCATGTTTGAAGCTTATATTGAAGCTTGAGAGGGAGAGTATTAGAAAATAATATCTTTATTTAACAAGGATTGGGGCACAAAATAACTGCATATTAAAACACAAAGACTTTGCATGGTAGATTATTTATGATTTGCATTTGTTTGATTAGTGATAGTTGATACCACTAGATAGGTGGTTTTTGGATTGCATGAAATGGAAGTTTTAAGACAGCCTAGTGGGTGCTGTGTGTGAGCAAAGTTTTGCTTTAAGCTTGACATATAGTGATATAAAATTCTAGTTTAATTTTAAAAAAATAATTTTCCATAATTAGAAATGTTTGGACTGTGATAGACAAATCAAATCAACTAATTTTCCAATATCTAATTTGCAGACAGAAAGCTTCCATGGAAGTTTGGTTAATCCCAAATGATACAGTGGCACTTCTGTCCTCCTAGTCCCACTGAAAAATAACAGCATTATAACTGCTTTTTGTTCTGGTTTATATTTGGCATCTTTAAATGTTTAAACATCTGGTTTCTGTTCAACATCTTTAAGAAGGACTTAATGTGAATGTGGATGTGTAAGTCCAGGAATTACCTAGTTTTTCTGTGATATCATTTGTCATTTTAAGTTAACTTTATAATTACTCTTACTAAGTTTTACATGTTAAAAAGAACTAAACCAGCTTTAATAGTGCTGGGAGCCCTCTGTAGGAGACACAGACTTAGTAGGTTATCCAAATAGTTCAGTCAGTTTGGGAAAGAATTCTGGTATAGCAGCAGCAGCAACAGCAGGTGGTATTATCAGAATTTTTTAAAATGCATTAAAAACTATTAGCCTCGGAAATACATTTTGTTTCCTGAGTTCATTCTAATAAGTGGTGAGAGATTCTGATGATCATCTGCGGTGAGCTGAGCCTGACCAAAACCTGGCATAAGTGGAGAAAATAAGCTATAGAGTTTAGAAAGGTCTCTCTGAAGGCCTCCCTTGTAGGAGGATTCTGAAAGGCCAGAGTAGCGCAGCTACTACCCAGGAGAGTATATGTGCACTTTGAGCAGTCCTTAGTCGTTTGGTCTACTTACAGCCTTAACTGTTCTTCTAAATCAACATTTTTAATGGTGAAAGTGGAAGAATAACTTCAAGCCATAGATATTATTTAGTTTTTAAACTACTTTCTAACAGAAAAAGAGAGTCAGTCCCCTTACTAATATTATCACTCCTGTTAGGTCACCTCACTGTCTCCTGTGTTCTGATGACACAGGAAGACGAAGTCCTTCTTTCACCTCTGTCTCTGGTGTACTCAGATCACCTTGGCTGCCCTATACTTTAGCATCCCTAGGGCAGTCATATACAAGGAAAGGTAGGTTGTGTTTTAGACAGAAGTCTAAATTGTCTCTACAAACTGAAAAATACCTAGTGTGGGCTCACTCTTGTTAATCCTTCTGTTCTCTACTTACTGCTTTAGCTGACAACTGCAGTGATTTCTATCTAACTCCAAAGGAACTTTTTTATCAATGTGCAAGATGACTGAGCGTATACTCCCTAACATTCCTAAACCTAGTAACTTATATATTTGAAGTGAAATTTTAATTTTTTTAATTGTTTTTATTTTTTATGTAGACATTCTACCACTTACAGAAGATGCTGGATTGACAGAACTGTATAGGCACAAAGTATACTTTGGTGCTTTACTAATGTATCAAGAGTAGCTGATTCTAGAAACCTCTTTAGCCTCTTCATTCATAAAGGTTCCTGGTGAGGATACCAGCAATGGTGACAGCTAACGAA